TATTAGCTTTGTTCATAATTGTTTATTTTTACATTTATTTAATTTAAAAAATTTTAAAACTGACTTACAAGCCCCCCATGTGATAGCATATTGGCAGTGACAGGTACTCTTTAAGGTGATACTGGGGGTCCAAAAGATCGCACTTCAGTAGCTTATTGCTGGGTCTTTAGGAGTCCAGCACTGACAGCTATGGGACCGGAAGTGATGTAATCAGCATCGCTCCCGGTGCCATAGAACGGGGGAGGAGATTGGTGAACGGATGGTTTGCCGCTCTCCTCCCCAGCTTCCCGCCGAGACACGAGATGCCGATCCTGGGCCACCAGAAGGGGCAGCGGAGCCTGGAAACACGGCTCGGGTGTCGGGTGGGCAGTCAGTTTACCTAAGTCGCCAGAATTGCTTCTATTGTGATATGAACAGAGTCCCAGCGGTAGACTGTTTAAATGCGAAAGGGTTAAGATAAAATCAAAATAACTGAAAAAAATTAAAAGAATAATTGAAATACTATACTCACTCAGCTCCAAGTTTCTTCGGACTGCCTATTTCCTTGGCACCGTTGCTCAGTTCATTGAGAACTATCAGAGGATAAATAATATTCTTCTCTACAAAAAGCAGCCAAACATGAGCCTTCTCGAACCACATCATATGAGCAGCATCTTGAAAAAGAAAAGCATTGCGCTTAGAATAAAAACAGTCAAGTTGTGTATGTAGAAGCAAAAGTGACTGCTCTACATTTTGTTATTGTCTACGCATTTCCGGGCACTACACATACATGTATATACAAAACAGCTGAGAAGTGGCTACATTAATCAAACAGATTAAAGCCAAAACTCTAGGGGGAAAAAAATGACAATTTACACACAGCACTGTGTGTAAATTATGGTTAAAAGGTGGATGTTATGTCTGAAGTGTCACTCCAAAGTATATAAATCTTATCTTGCACCATGCAGTCTCCAACACATAAAGCTGAGATTCTGGGCATTGAGGGGGAGTGAGAGATGCGATTAAGCAGTGAATAACCCTGGAGGCATCACCTGCCCATTCACAAAATGCCTTGTATTTTTTTTCAAAGACTACAAGGTATTCAGTGGCTGAAGGAGGAGAGGAGGGGGCAGAAATGTGAAATAATTTTTCCTCCTCCAATCACAGAATAACTTTGAAAAGAACACAAGTGTAGTGTGTAAATGATCTTGTTTTCTTGGCCTGTGGCTTTAGGGCCAGTTCACACCATCTCCATGCGATTAATGCACGGTATCGCACAATGCACATCCAGAGTGATTACAGTGCAGGAGGTGTATTGCGTACCAACGCACTATTTTTTAAATCACAACACAATGCACGTTATTTGCGGTACCACACGTTGCGGCTGCCAGCGGGAGGTGCGTTTGGGGTACCATTCAAATGAATGGCACGCAATGCACATTAATCGCAGTGGGATGGTGCGAACGTGCTCTAAAGCCACACTCCAAGGAAAAAAAAGATAAATCGCAGGGGGAAGTAGATCATAGATGGTGTGAACAGGCCTTCAAAGATTACAAAATGACAGCAAGCATCTAACTGCCTGCTTGTTTCAACACAAACATTTCCTCTCTCTTCTGTTTCTATGAACACTTTGGTGCAGCAACACCACGATAAGCTTAATGAATAGAATACTTCCTGCTTAGTGGCTTTAAGAAAAAAGAAGTCTTCATAATAAATGTGTATGAAAATAGAATTCTGTTCTTACAGTAAAATCGTTTTCTCCAGTCCATTGAGGGACACAGCTCTGAAGAATTCCGAGATGCAGGGTTATGCTGCTGAGGGCAGCATCAGGCAGAAAAAAAAAGCCTGCCACTTTAAGGAAATATCCCCTCCCACCTGCTAGTTGCAGACAGCAGTATGAAAGGAAATGAGGGGAATTAGCTATGCCCTCAATGGACTCCAAGAAAAGGATTTTCCATCGACCATTGAGGGACACAGCTCTGAAGAATTCTGAGATGTTCAAAAGCAGTCCAAAACAGAGGGGTGGGCATCATAAAAACCTAGAAGAACCAGCTCAATTACTCAAACAGCCGCCAGCAGAACTTCTCGGCCAAAATTAGCATCAGAAGCGGTAGAAACATCAACCAAGAAGTATTAACTGCCCTAGTAGAAAGGGCAGAAACAGGAAAAGGAAGAACCTTATCACGCAACTCATAAGCTTGAATGGCAACCTGACGAATCCACTTAGAAATAGCAGATCTAGAAGCTGAACATCCTTTCTCCTAGGACCTTCAGGTAGAACAAATAAAGAATCAGAACTCCAAAAGGGAGCTGTAGCTGACAGATACACTAACAGCCTGCAAAACCCAAACAATGAAGAGAACAAATGGGCAAAGTGAAGGTAAAACAATGTGTTCATTTAAATATAAGGCCGATACCACCTTGCGGAAAAAAGGAAACCTGGGGTCTTAAACAACCTTGTCCTTATGAAGACCCAAATAGGGTTCTGCACAAAACAAAGACGACAACTTGGTAACCCTTTTAGTCAAGGTAATGGACACAAGAAAGGCAAAACTTTTTGAACAAAGATGACACAGATGGGTTCCAGAAAAACTGGCTGCGCATGCTCACACTTGCACAGTAGAAAAAAACAAGTGCATCAAACTGAAGCCCCAGCCTCTTAAAAAAGGACCCCGGAAAATTGAAGTAAAAATCAGGAGCCTAAAAGCACACACAAAAAAGAAGGGAGGGAGGGAAAACACCCAACATTCCAAACATTAGGTAATACATTTTTTACTCACGACTCCATGGCCCTGTTCCCAACATAACAGGAATCCCCAGGTAATACTGGCCTAACAGTTAAATGATGAAAACAGGAAGACAGGACTACCGCAGGATGACGCAGAAGTACTGGGACGAGAAACAACCTACTTCATGACAACTAGAGAAACTTACAGGATTTAACTTATACGGCATGAATCTCTCAGTTTTGTCAGCTAGCTAGAGAGACTTCCAGGATTTAATATCATATATGAATCAACTAGAAGCTCTTGGTAGGAGAACCTTCAATGAACAAAATAAACCAGAAGAGAAGACATCCATTCTTCTGAGTACAGTAAGCACAACTAGCAGGCGTAAGATGGGAGGGGTTACTTCCTTAAAGTGGCAGGCTTTTAATTTTTTTGCCTAGTGTTCATTTCTCCTGGAGACAGCAGCATAACCCTGTGTCTCAGAATCCTTTAGAGTGGTGTCTCTTAATGGACAATAGAAAAATAAGAGCTATCTGTACTGTTGCATGGCAACTAACGCCACTCAACATTTCAGATGCTGAACTGTACTTTGCAGTGCTGCTATCTAAATGACAAAAAAAAAAAAAGGAGGGTTCTTATTGCTGGTAAAATTGCTGAAAGGAAGCCTAGGTGAATTGTAGTCACATTAATAAGTAAAGCTGTCCATACACTGCTTAGCTTTTTGAAAGAACTTTTGTCCAAAATAACTTTTTGGCTTTCTATTAGATGGAGTCAAAAAGACGATCGATATTGACAATGGTGGCAAATAAACTCACAAAAGCAGGATGGAAAATTTTTCTCAAACAAAATTCTTACAGTGCATGTGGTTTTTGTTCGGGAAGCGCCATTCATTCCAAAACTGAACATTTAAAATCAAACGAAATTTCAATCAACATTTGTCAAGTGTCGGATGGCATTATCAGGTAGTAAAAAGGAAGATCTTTCGTACGAACGTTCGCTCGAAAAACCACTAGTGTTTGGACAGCTTAAATGTTATGGAATACTGAAACTCAACATCTAATGTTTATAGTACTGGAATAAAATCGGAACATGCCTAGGATGCCACAAGAAACATCTTTTAAAAAATAACTTACTTCGAACTTCAAATTGGTAATATTCCTTAGTTTTTAGCAGCGGGTGGGAGAAGCAGTGCCAGGGAAGTTGTTTGCGTACTTGCGGTAGAATGTAGTGAGTTAAGAAACCAACTGAACCAACTACTGCATAGAGAACGTAACTCAGAACGGGCTGGAAAAAAAAAAATGTTGTACAGTGAATACTTATGTAAATATTTTAGGTAGGAAGGTTATTAATTGGAATATTTTTTATAACACAATATATGCACAACCTTCTTGATTATCAACACTCTCCTGACCCAGTACAGTTTGAAAGTTAGCACAGTGGAGGAGGGATACAAGTGCATACTGGCTATAGACAACATGGGACCTTCCTTGCTGCTTCACCAAAAAAAGTACAACTGTAACATTCAAAGAAAAGTATTGGAAGAGGATACACCAGTCAAATCCTTGGTCTTACCTGTAATGCTGTAAACACAGTGCTGACATGAATAGCAAAATACAAAACTGCAATCACTATACAGACAACCAGGTCAGACTGCAGTCGCTCGTTCTGGAAAAGAAAGACATGTATTGGAATAAGAACGTACTCAGCAGTCTGCAAATAATTGCAGGGATCACTATATAAAGTGCTTCTGCAACCTACAAATGTTCCATGTATTACATTTATACATAGTCCCTGCAAAATCCACTGCAAAAGTTTAACTTAAATTATAGAGAAAAAATACTAAATTAGTCAAATCTTAAATCTGCCCATATCCATTAAAGTACAAACACAAGCACAAAACATTACAGTGTGTAACACTTACAACAGAATTCCTCAGCTTGTCTGGAAGCGGGTCCTTCACTTCTGACAGAGGGTCTTCTGGGTTTTTATCCTCATTATTTGGAAAGATTTTTGATTGCACCAGAGAGCTAACAAACAAAACACAACAACACAGGGTCAATAGAGAAGAAAGTCTATCATGAGAAAAGCGTAGGAACTCCCCATTGCTGGCCTCTTACTGAAAATGCAAAATGCCTGGCTATAATCAAAGCTCTATATACTGAGAGCGCCGCAGCAGGGACAGATCCCAACAATACTGTCGAGATCTACCCAGCTGGCTGATTGATAGCGGGCTCTGCCTATCTAGAAGCAGAGCCAGCTGTGCCCTTCCCCCTCTCCGTCCGTTCCTCCGCTCAGCGCTGGAGGATCGGAGAGGGGATGGCAATTACAGTGGGGAGCGTTGACTGACAGTCACCGCTCAACTGCAGGGAGAAGACCGGTAAGTGAGTGAGCGACGTAATGTGTTCGCTCACTTCCCAATCTATAGAGTCGACATTGACGTTATCAATGTCACGCGTCGGCTCTATGAGGATGAGTGTAATTCACTCACCTCATAGTTCTCCTTTAACAAACCTGAATATATTGATTTGAAACATGCACACAATTTTGCATTTCTACAGCTTCAGTGTGTCTCCTCTTCCTATAATACCTACCGAATTTATCCTTTTATAGTTATTTTTATGAAAAGGAGGTACATTGTGGCACCTTCAAGAACCCGTGTTAGAATCCAAGTGACTTTAAATGGATTGATTTAAAGTCTAAGTAGTAGGAGCTGTACATGGGGCTCTCCCCTATAACCAGGTTGAAATTAAGCCCCTAGTCCTCCAGCACTGAGCTCCACCTTCTCTTCTACAAATGTCAGTGGCTTTATCGCCCACCAAGGTTTTGTTTTGAACAGCTTAATGACAGAGAAGACAAAATCTAATCCTGGAGGGAAGCTGATACCCTGAGTACAACCATGGAATAAGTCCAAGAAGTTGCTTTGAAATCGATTTGAAGACTAACACAAGTAGTTGTATCCACCTTGCATAAACCTTCAGGTCAGGTACACCTTTTACGCATGAAAAAGGTAAAGTAGATATTTTAGAGAAAATGTGAACACAGTAAACATGGTTATGTTAGGACCAGCTTTACAGTTTTATTTAGTCCATAAATTGGTGTGGAGCTAAACCGCAATCAAAACCTAAATCATATTAACAGGTTAAGGTTTAATACCGCAAAACTTAAGCTCAGGGTTATTTATTCGATTCTAAATTTCAGTTTGTTTTAATAGCGGGATGTTCCATTTACATATTGCTAGGTTTGGAATTCCTGGTATGTTAATTTAAGTCCGTGTGTACTCTAATGCATCCAATAACTCACATGAGGACAGAGGGATCACTGCTTTGTCTGCTGAGATGGTAAGAAACGGCAACTAACACACCACAGAAAATAGAAAACAATACAGGAACATGCGGGGCATCCCAAGGATCCTGAACACAAAAGAGAAGACAAAAATAAATAAATTGAAGAGCAACAATGATCCACATTGTAATTTAGGACTAATATAGGCATATAGCTAGCATTTTATTTAGTAATTTCAAAAATATGTTACTGACATAATTAACTACACATAGCAAAGGTGATTTTACTGGTTAGCAGGCACCCGAAGATGATCCCCTGTAGAGCACCTTTGTAGCGCCAAAACCTCAGGTTCTCTGCACTGTACCATCCATGGGATCTGGTTTTCCTCTTCCCACTGCCTATGGCTTGCTACTGATAGTAGGGATGCACCGATGCCGATACCGAGTATTTTGGCGAGTACTCACTCACCCAAATGCTCCCGATACTGGAACTTCCGGTATCAGGAAGTTCGGCGGCGAATCATTACACTAGCCGCCTGGCTTTCCGATTGGCCGGGAAGCCGGCTCCATGCTCCCTTATCACCAAAAAGCATGGAGCTGGTTTCCCAGCCAATCAGGAAGCAGGGAAATAACTCTCCCCCCGGTTTCATGATTGTAGGAAAGCTGGCCAATAAGGAAGCTGGCTCCATGCTTCGATGTCACTTGGTAACAGGGGAGCATGGAGCCGGCATTACCGGCCAATTAGGAAGTCGGGTGGTGTGTAATGACTAACAGGAAGCCTGGTTACAGGCTTCTTCGTCACCTGGTGACGAGGGAGCATGGAGTCGGCTTCCCGGCTAATCAGGAAGCCGGATAGCGAATCATTAAACGAAGCACGGCTTCCTTAATGGGACTTTAAGTACCAGTAATCAGTATTGTCAAGTACAGAAAAAAAAAAAATCAGTACTCGATACCGAAAAACCGGTATCTGTGCATCCCTGTTAGGAAAAGCCTCTTATCACACGATGGCCCAATAAACAAGCAAGGGGTGGGCCAGATCCAGACACCAAGAAACTTGTCAGCATTTGCTCACAAACAGATTTTGGGGTTCCTGGGGTGTTCTAGAGTGGACTGAAGGTGTTTGCGATCAGTTTTAGCATCATTTTACAATTGCATCCCCTGCCCAAGACTTCTTTATCATTAGTTTTTAGGGTATTTATGAATTTAGCATTTATAAGAAAACCCCCAAAACACCATATAGAGTATTAAAAAACAAAAAAAAACAAAGCCAATGCCTGGTTCAATTAAACTATTTCAATGCTAAATATGATTTTTTAGCTCATGGCTGTGCAAAGGCTTACCTTAAGAGCACCATAACACAGTCCATAAAGTAAAGCTACCGCCACAATGCTACGAATAAAGCTGTAAAGTGCTGCGAGCAGGCTGGTGGTAGCTGGAAAAACAGAAGTCAGTCAAGATATTTATATATTATTTTGGATAGCACACAACAAATGATACATCGGAAGTCATTTAGAAGATTTACATTCTTGTTCAACTTTGAAGGACATAAAAGTGCGTTTGACTTCTTTTCAGCCCTCTTAGAATTTCTGTTGCATATACTAGTTTCCAATTTCCTTAATGAATGGATACAGGCTGCATCCTAAGACTGAAGCAGGCAACAGGATCTCTAGCCTGATCTGCAATTGTCTGTTCATTGGGGGTCTGGGGATTGCCGGTATGCATACTAATGAATAGGTAGAAAGAGCGCTATTTTACACCGACTGCTTGTACAGAGTTGGCCATTTCAAAAGGAGCCATGAAGAGGACAGCTAACAAAAGAGGTTTATGTGTTCATATACAGCAACTGCATATGCCTGCTTCATATACACTCGGTGTACGTTGCTGGCATGTTTTTTTTAAATACCTACGCAAAGTTGGAAATGGGCTTTAAAGATGATTTAATCTGCTCATATTTTGCCTTCCCTGATACCTCCTTTACCCCTCTCATTAACATGCTATTTTTTAAATACATTCTGTCTAATACATACCTATTTTAGACCCAGTGATATGATCACTAGGTCTCTGTGCTTCTCTATGTAACGCATGCACATTATTGTGGGGGACGAGGGGTTGACCAGCGAGGTGTTTTACATAGCTTTCCAAAAGCATCACAGCACCTTGCCTCAATACTCTCAAATGCCCTCAGTCCTAGTAGAAGCAGTGAGCTGGCTCTTGTAGGGAGTAATGCAAACATCAAAATGCTTTGATGGATGGATGTAAGATAATTTGTGATGCTAACTGGGGCGGGCCAGGGACAGTAAGGGGGGAGTAAAGGGCTAGATGATGTGGATGTCCTCCAGCCAGGAAATAAGGCAGACTCGCTAATATGCTGCAGCTTCTATTGCACACTGAGAATCTCAGTGTGCAGTGAAATCATAGTATGCTATTTCAGTACAGAGAAGGAGCCTGCACAACTGGACGGAGTTTGTCAAAGTCATGTAGTAAGGAATATCCACAGGTGCTCTCTCTCAACGACGTTATGAAAATAAAGATTCATTTGACGAAAAGTGAATGAAGCTTAGGAAGAGGGATAGCAAGATCAATGTTAACGTGTGCAGAAAGCAGATCTCACCGTTTCCACCAAACACATGTATATCCAGTTGTTCACACAGGTACATGACGAAAGTGTTCACCTGAGGCAGGAGACCGATGAAGAACACAACTGGGAAACATAGTGTGAACACTGTGAAGCAAAAGCACATTTTAAAATTACTGAGGATAAATGTGAACACATAACATAATGCATACAGATAAATCTGGAAGGACTGCATTGGAAAAAAATATAAAAACTTGTGCTAGAATCCAGTATTGAACACCAATAACGCTAAATTGGTGTCAGGACAATTATCACAAAAGTGTTCGAGGACAGCAGAAGAAAAAAAGATGCCGACTGGAAAACTGTCAAATAACTATCCAAAAAGCTAAATGTATTCTGACTGGTGGACCATTCCTCATAAGTGAAAGAAACAGAGCCTGAACAAATCAGTAGCTCTGTAGTTTCAAAGGAATGATGCCTGGCATTTACTATGATACTATTCGTATCCTTTCCTTAGTCATTTCTGTCCCATTAAAGCAGTGGAAGGATGATGAGCAAGAATAGCAGCCACGGCTTTTATAAAATAAATTATATTTAATGTTGTGTTCTTAAACTGCGCACTGCTTTTTACATTATAGCGTAAACCTGAAAGACAACATATGAGCATGAGTGTTCTCCCTGCACACTGTGCATGGTTACCGTCGTGTGAAAAAGAAAGTATAATTTTTCAACTAAGCAGGCTAATGGCATGGCTACAGAAATCGCTTTGATCTCTATATTTTCTGGACCAATGGACATGGCTAAGAGAGGTCTTCAGCATTTCATATTCTCAGCAGGTAGATCAGTGATCTCTAAGCATTGGAGAGCAGGTGAGACACCCCCTTCCCCCCCAAATTCGAGAATGGATTAGTGAACTTAATTATATAATGCTTATGGAAGAACTTACAGCCCCGTATGTATGACGGCTATTTGGCTTTTGCAGATACATGGAGTACTTGAAATAGTTAAGTGCTGTGAGGGTATGTTTATTGTGATATTAAAGTGAAAAGCTAACTGCCCTAAACTATAGTAATTTAATTTCTAGTAAAAATTGCCAGGACTTCAATCTAGGATCTAAAATCAATAGCTACCCTCTTCTGAAGTGTTTGGTTGCAGTCACACAATTGCAAACACTCCAGGTAATGTATGAGTGGGTGGACACCATGGCAAGTCTTCCCTAATGCCTGAAAGTGAGATGCTCTCTGCTCTCAACACAACTCCAATTGTCGATTAAGAAAGTGAGGCAGGAAAAAAGGGAGGAGCTGCAGAGACCAAAGCATCCTCCAAAATAAGTACACAGGGGAAGAAAGCCCTTACCATTGATATCACAAAGGCATACTTTGCTGGTGGAGATTTTAGGTGCCAACAACACTGAATTATACAATTAATTTAAAGAAATGTTGTTGGCCCAACACCAGAATTAGCTATATACATGGGAAACTGACAGGATCAATATGTATACACTATGGAAATGCAAAGGGTTTGAAATACACAGTTATTATAAAAAAAGTTATTCAATAGGATTTGGTTTGCAAAGCTTGACTCCTTGTCTTTTTTTGCATGGAGATACACTTTAAGAAATTAGAGTGTAGTCCACTTACATGACTATTTTTAGCCCGACATCTACAGACTGTTCTGCATTACGGTTCCCTGCAGTAACTTCTCAGTTTAAAAGGAAAATAATCACGAGATCAGATCACAGCAATCCTTTTTTGAGATACTGCGCGCCTGTAGGCGCTGAATAACTGTTTAATTTTACATTCATCTCTAAGGCCTCATTCACAGAAGACGTTTGATATCCAGAAGTGACCGCGGGTAGTTGCAGCCACCGCGGGTAGTTGCAGACAAGGCTAGGTAAAATGTCATTCAGAATACCACCTTTAAAAAAAAAAAAAATTGCAGATGCGTAAGCAGTAAAAATAGTCACAGAAAACAAAAGGAATGCTCACCAATTACTAAATCCCTGGCAGATATGAGAAGCAGAGGATTGGTGAAGGCCATTCCATACAGCTTGTATTTGGTGGCTGACAGGTTTTTGCTTCCATAATCCAGTAACCAAATAAGGCCACAACAGGCACAAAAGTAAACAGGCCTACTATAGGCTATGATACGGTTATGGCCCTGCAAAAGGATACAAAATGTTTAGTGACAGCTACTTAGGAACATGCTAGTTAATCTTGCCAAACACTTAACTGCATTTTTGACCTTATGACCTGTGTAACTATGTTAAGAGTATACTTACATGTCTAGGGGAAGAAGAATCAGGCTGAACACTCTAAAATAAAGAAAAAATATATATTTTAATTTGAAACTATTTTATTTAAATTTCCAAAACAATGAACATTTGAGTTTTGTAAAGTTAAAAAGCATAATAAACAACAAACACGGGGGAAAACACACTTGAAATGACATTTTAACTTTGCTTGGAGTGCTAACTTTCAGAGCAGTCCCACATGAATGTTGCACAGCGTAATAGCTAGCACCACTGCAGAAATGCGCATAAACAAAAAGGTCCACCAAGCTGCTGAAGAAGCTCAAATAGAAGTCATTATCAATCATGTTTGCATGTCGGAGCTGTCCTAAGTAAAGTTCTGGTATCAAGCCCAAGCACTTCCATGCAATAGTGCAATAAAGGCTTAGCAGATCTTTCTCCCCCATCCAGGAAATTAGGCAGGATTTATTTGACTTTCTGTAGGCTTTATTTGACCCATATGTAGGGTGCAACATGAAACGTGGTCACACTCCCTAGTCCCCACCCACATACCTGAAGCACAAGGTGCATCTCCCTGAAGCATCCTTTTACTTCCCAATTTAGCGCAGCTGTGCGTGGCTCCGCCCAAAAAACCACACCACCCATTCACAGATCCCTTTACAAGGATCTGTGATGGGAAAGACTACAAGTCCTATCTGCCATGGTGAAAGAGGAAATCTTAATAAAACAAGTGCGGTGGTGTCCGTGGGCAGCTCGGTTCACAGCCATGAATGGATAAGGTGGCTGTCCAGTATGATTTCCTGAATTACTTAAAGTGACATTAAACCCTCAGATTTTTTAACATAAAAACAATACTGTAATGTGTGCCTTACTGTAATCCATGGTTGTTTCCCTTCTCTTAGCTGCTCTTCCTTTTAACCTCTTGCTGTCCGCCCGTAGTAAAAAAACGGACGGACGGCACTGCAGCATCTGCGGGTTGCCGTATAGGCTGTAACCTGAGCCAGCACTACAGGAAGAGGCCCTGAGCTGAAAAGGGAAGTTCTCTCCAAGCATGAGAACAGATACATATTTAAAAGGAAGAGCAGCTAAGAGAAGGGAAACAACCATGGATTACAGTAAGGCACACATTACAGTATTGTTTTATGTTAAAAAATCTGAGGGTTTAATGTCACTTAGTCCAGAAATAATTATCCGCCACCTAACTTTTTGTTTTACAATATGGTGGTAGGTGTGTGTTTAAACTGTCCACAATCACAATGGCTGGACATGAATGAGCAATCTAACTCAGTGTTTGTAGGCAGAGCTTCCATCCTTT